TATCCAAGTGTACTGGTACGTATGAATTGACTTTATAGAATTTAATTTCACTAGAAATCCTAATACGAAGAGACGGCTTTTCTTGGAATACACGCTTGCGCTATGATCAACTTGCACCCAGGGCTGTTTAGTGGAGTGGTAACTTCGATCTCTGACGCGCACTATCATGCTTCGAATCTTATTGATGGTGTTGATGAAACCTAGGCGGGGTAGAAACTGCTGCTCAGCTTCGAAGAGAACATCCTTTAATTGGCAAGGTTAAATGAAACCTATTGACTTCCATGAAATAAGGCCATTCTTGTTTTTACTGTACACTAAGCCTGAATCCAAAGAAGCAAAATTTGACGAGAGTTGAGTATATTCATTATTTGATTCACACCCTAATATCGCAAAAAAGGACCCTAATCCTAAAGAAGTTTTGAGTAGGAATTACCTCCGGATAGTGACAAAGTAGGCGGCTTCGATATCACTTAGCTGACGAAGAAAACAACAATAAACGATGAAACTATAGCACCAGTTTTACTTTTTTATTTCGCGAGTCCGTCTAATGGTTGATTTAGCTTGTCAATTCATCCAAAGAAACCTTTAGTGTATAGAAGGTAAAATAGGGCCAGGACAATAGTGGTCTGGTTTCTATAATCTTGTATTTAACGACACAATCCTAAAACTACTTTCAGTTAATTGAAATCAGAATTAAATATTTATTGTCGAAAGAATGCTTAATGAAAAAAACAATCTTCGGACACTGATATGCTAAATGGAAACTAGATACATGTAAGTTTCGTCTGGTTGTTCCGCAAAATAGAGGATCCTAGGCTCATACGAAGTTGACAATTAAGCACCTCTTAGTTAATAACACAGTAGGCAAATATCATTCTCTTCTCCAATAAAGTTGAGTAAATTAACAGGAGACCGAAAAAGAGAGTTATTCGAATGAACAGGCCAAAAGCCTATACGAAGAGTTTTAAATCTGCATATTTCCATAATATTTATTGTGTAAGTGTTAATAAAAGTGGGTTAGAATGATTCGTTCACCTTCTTTGTGCTCGTAGAACACCAATTGGTGCCCTACAAGTATAGCATAATGACCACGGCTGGAGAGACTGGGCACCCAACGAGGCACAATCAGCCTTCGTCCTCCTCGCCCTGTGAGGACCTTTCGGCAAAGCTGGCCTGTCAGTTGAGGCTCTAGGCGACCGAAGGTACGACCAGCTGACGCTGATTGCCTCATACTCAAGTCGAGTTGTCCTTGAGCTTGGCCTGCTGTTGGGGCAATTGTGGGTGTATGCTTGGGTGTGCCAACGACGCTAGCTGGGTAGAGAGGCGAAGAAGATGAGGAGGAGGCTGACGTTAAAGGAGTGATGGGCTCACTGAAGGGTGTCGACGACGATGTATCTATGATAGACAGGATGATAGATAGGATAAAATGGCTGATTCATGTGGGGGATATATTAATAAATGCTGAAAGAAACCCGTTTTTTCAATGTGCAAGTTGATATGGAGTGGAGGAACATGCATATGAACACCCGATGGTTGCGTACCATGCATTCAACAGGGGTATCACCGCTTCCATAATAAGAGTCACCAAGGTGCGCAAGAAATGCAGTTAGTAAAGGAGTGGGTAGATAATAATTTGAATGAATCAAATGGGGAAAATTACCAAAATAGGACAAACGATAGTTGGTAGATATAGATAAGACAAATAAAAAAAGTGATTTATTGATTGGTTGGCTCAAGGCTATGCTTGTTTGCACAATGTTAAACAGGCACCAAAGTTAAGATTTCCCCAAGTTAAAAAATGTTGTAAGATGTATTCACCCAATTTCGTTTAAGGTGACGAAGGACTGGTAGAAGTAGAATTTTCTCACAAATGATATGAGTTGAGCTGACGTTTCCATTGAATTTTAACACAGCTTTGCTTTCCCAAAATGTGTTCTCATCCAGGGTGGACTGCAGTTTCGACCTCGCATTGGTCTTATCAACACCCTAAGCGCGAGTCGAACCGCGACAGTGCAGGATGGTAGCTGTCGCGGTTCGACATATCATTTGTGGGAAAATTCTACTTCTACCAGTCCCTTATCACCTTAAACGAGATTGGGTGAATACATCTTATAACTGATTTACTGGTAGTCACGAAAAACAATACTTAATTCGAAAAATAAA